TACTTTAGTGAATCCTAAACCCTAAACCCTAAACCCTACACCCCTAAACCCTAAACCCTAAACCCTAAACCCTACACCCCTAAACCCTAAACCCTAAACCCTAAACCCTAAAACCTACACCCTAAACCCCCAGCCCTCAAAGCCTCCACTCTACAATGTCCCCAAACCCCAAAACCAAGAGCCCAAATTCTAAAGTTCAAATCCGAAACCCCTAAAGCATCATGCGAAAAAAGCCTAACCCTGCACGCCGTAAACCCGGGTTGAGGGTTTCAGGGTTTAGGGTTTGGGGCTTCGTTTTTGTTGGGTCCTCCAGCCGTGCCTTGCAAGGACCTGGCGACCGGCCTCATTGGTGGAACATTGTCCTGGGCCACTTCTCCCGAACTAATTTTCAAAGGGGCCTAAATATAATTACCAATGTCATCCCTTAGAGTTCCTTGTTAATGTCATAATTGTAGCAAAAAGGAACCCAACGCCTTATTCTAAATTCTTTTAGGCCCCTACATTAACTTCACGGCCTGGGCTTTTGAGATCAGCGGTTTCATTTTGTTTTAGGGGTGTGTAGGGTTCAGGGTTTTAGTGCTTTTCGTTTTTTTCCGTGGGTTTAGAGTTTTGGGGGTTTCGGGATTCAGAAGTTTTGCGCTTGGCGTGCATTGACCTGAACTTTTCTTGATAAACAATCCTTCGGGGCCCCCAAAACCCTAAGCCCTAAAGCCTAAACCCTAAACCCTAAGCCCTAAACCCTAAACCCTAAGCCCTAAACCCTAAACCCTAAGCCCTCTAGAGTCGCTGTACCGAAATACCTGCAAAGATTGAGGCCTCTGTACTGTACTGCACCCCGCCCTGCACCCGAAGGCCTTAAACGAGCCCTGATGAGTTGAGTTTGCACTGCAGGGTTTGGGTTTTGTGGGCTGGGGGTTTAGGGCTCCCAAACCCCTTTAACCCTAGACCCTTTACCCCTAAACCCTGAACATCCCTACACTCCGTAAGGTTTAGGGGTTCTGCAACATGGGGGGTGAAAAGTTACCTCGATATAAACTAGGTTCCCCAGTAGTACCACTTTTTCTTGTTGTTTCTTCTTGGGTTCCCTAGTGAAGCCAGATAGTAGGGAAAAGGGTACCCTTATCATGAAGGGGCCGCTGGGGAAGCTGGCAAAGTAATGCTTTGTTTTGTAGGTCTTCTTCTAGAATCGAATCAAGAAAGTGTATAGGGACCCTAAACCCCTAAACCCCTAAACCCTAAACCCTAAACCCTAGACCCTACCGATAAAGTAGGTTCTGGCAGGTTAAAAAGAGATCTGCTGGCGCAGAGGGCCGCCGTTTTGTTAACCAAAGAGCACTTTTTGCGGGATGGTAGGGTCGCCTTCAACTTTGTGCTTTGGGTTTAGGGTTGGGGGTTTCGGGATGAATGCGATCCTATCCGATTTGTCTCAACTTTGGGTGTAGGGTTGCGCGGTTTGCTTCCAGTCCTAAGTCTCCCAGTGGGCCCTTGTTCCCTTTTTTGTGGTCTTAGGTTCCTCCTAAACCCTAAACCCTAAACCCTCTTTGTTCCTAGGTTGCTGGGCATCCTCGAGTTGACAAGCATGTTGGTTTCTGCGGGGCTCCTCTTCCTCAGGCGGCGTTATTCCTCAAACTTCTTGGGTTTAGGCTTTACTCTCATATCGAGGCCCCAAAACCCTGAGCCCTGACATTGGGCTCTCAGATACCTAGGCCCTAAACTCTGGAGCCTTACGTGCGGCCGCACATGACGACCAATTCCAGCCCCAGCAAAGGCGCCTGTGCAACTGGAGCCGTCAGTCTCTCTTTACCTTTACAAACCACCTGGGTTTAGGGTTCAGGGTTTAGGGTTTAGGGTTTAGGGTCTAGGGTTTAGGGTTTAGGGTTTAGGGAGAACATGCATGGCTTAAGGCCTGGACTTATCATCAAACACGAGACTGCCGCTCCTTGCACATCAGTCTTTGCAACCCAGGTACCACAGTTGCCAGGTCCCTTCATGTCCCTACACCCAAGACCCTAAACCCTAAACCCTAAACCAAAAAACCCTAAACCCTAAACCCTAAACCCTAAACCCTAAACCTTAACCGAAACCTGAAGCCCTGAAGCCCCCCTCTTCCTCTCCTTAAGCAACAACGCAAGGTCCCTCCGGCAAGCATCAGCGAAGTTATCAGCTACACGATCTACCTGGCGGACTGCATCCTAAACCCTAAGCCCTGGACCCTAGGGTTTAGGGTTTAGGGCTAAACCCTAAACCCCTACACCCCTACACCCCTAAACCCCTAAACCTCTAAACCCCTAAACCCTGAACTGCAATTTTAAACGCGTGCTTCGCGGGTCCCCCAGAGACCCTACTCTAACCACCTAGACGCCCCAACTACCCTCCCCACTATTATTCACGATATTAACCCCAAGCGTCCAGAGGACCCAATAATCAGGTACTTCGGTTTCGGATAGTAGTTATGTAGGTTACTATTTGGGAGAGCATATGAGGATTAGGTACTTGCACCCTTGGGGTAAAGGGCTATAAGGGTGCTATTAGGGCAGTTGGGGGGTCCTGGCATTCCGCATTCCGAATTACCAGCAAAATTATTTTCCACGAAGTCCTGAATCTATCGGTGCATAGACTGTCTGGTGGCTTAGTAGGGAATGGGGGAATGGGTTATAGGGACTACTATAAGGGACCTTAAGGGACTACCATAGGGATCCATTCCCCCATTCCCTACTAAGCATCAGACAGTAGAAAGACACCTTCCGACCAACAAGCTGTTTGTTTTAGCTTTTTCGTCAGAGCCCCGACCTCCAAGAGGTCATTCTACATACTGGGAGTTCCTTGAGAACTAATGTAGGAACCTGATTAAGAAACCCTGGCCCTAAAACACCAAAATAGTAGGGTTCATATAGAGAACCCTAAATAAAGGCCCAAGGCTTCTTAATCAGGTTTCTATACATTACTTCGCGTGGTTCGAAACTTGGGGAGTGGGGTTATGTGTTGGGTGTGGAGCTTCACGGATTGAGGGTTTCAGGGTTGAGGGTTTAGGGTTTAGTTTCGACTTTTCCATGCCTTTACCACTGAAATTCGCTTCTTTCGCCAGTCTTCTTTGCGCAGGACGGCGCGAACACGCCCAGTAGCCGAACTACACTAGGCCTGCAACTCTGTACCACTTTCGTGGAAGCAAGGGGTGATTTCCCTGTAAGTCTGCAAGGGCAACGTTGTCGTGATGTTTGTGGCAGGGTTCAGCTTCATGTCTGGCTGAATGTACTGAACCGTTAGGGGGATCAGACGTCCGTGTGTGAAAGAGAGAGAGAGAGATCTTGTTCTAGTGTATAAATGTCCAGACGAGGTTGAGACTGCCGGTTCACCGCAAACCCTAGACCCAATACCCCACAACCCTGGACCGTGGACCCTGAACCGTAAATCCTAAACCCTAAGCCTTAAACCCAAATGCGGGACTTAGTGCCAGCCACTAAGAGCTGAGTGCCAGGCTCCGTCGCGGTCGGCACGAACTCCTTGGCAGCACCTTGGTAGTGGTAGAGCTATAGCCGTAGTCGTAGTAGTAAAAGTAGTACAGTAGTAGTAGTAGTAGTAGTAGTAGTAGTAGTAGTAGTAGTAGTAGTAGTCGTAGTAGTAGTAGTAGTAGTAGTAGTAGTAGTAGTAGTAGCAGCAGCAGCAGCAGTAGCTGTCGCAGCCTTCGTCGTCGATCGTCGTAGTAGTCTTCGGGAGTTCTGCTTTTTTGGAGTGCCATAATTCGCGTGTCGTGCTTGTGTTGATTTGCATGCTTTCTGCTTCCGAAGCCCCACTTGCGCAGGGTACCCTTCTATTTTGGAGTTCTAGTGACTGCCCCCGCACTTCAGCTTACAATCGTCTGGAGGGATCCTCACGCAGCTCCGGGCTTAGGAGTCTGGGATTGCAGCCTGGGCGGGCGCCAAAATTCCATACCATGTAATTTCGGATCTCTTGTTGAGCGTTGCCCTCGGGCGGCATGTCGACGGTAGGGCACAAGAACAAGATGGAGGTTTCCGAAAATAGGGGAGCCCTATATAGTACCCTAAATAGTAGGATCCTGATTATAAGGAACCCAAAATAAGGAACCCCCGTATTTCGGAAACTCCCAAATCCAGCCAAGGTATCCTCGGGCACGGCCAGCAGCAGTTCTGCCTCACATTTCTTCGTTCACTCTGAGTCTGCCCTGGGATTGAATCCCAACGGTGCAGGCCCCCTTTCCTGGCTACTTAGTCAGAGGGCTGAGTTTGGGGTTTAGGGACATAGACGAGGTTGCAATAGCTTCGAGTTTTTGGTTTAGGTATGATATACAGGTTGGGTAGTGTTCTGGGACTGGCGAAGACTTGTAAACTTGGGCTTTGTGCCTGTGTGTGGTTCGTAGACTCATCCACAGCAGGGTGTTCAGGTTTAGAGTCTAACGTTTTAGGTTTGAGAGCTTCAGGGTTAGAGGGTTCGGGGTTTAGGTTTAGGGTTTTGAAAAAGCATTTTTGGGGTTTTAATGGGTAGTTTTCTCAACTAGGGTTCCTGTTTAAGTCCTCAAAATAGCATCGCCACCCGCAAGAGGACACCAGAAGGGACCCTAATTTAGAGAACTCCCTAAACCCTAAGCCCTAAACCTATACGGTTTAGGGTTTAGGGTTTAGGGTTCAGGGTTTAGGGTTTAGGGTTTAGGGTTTAGGGTTTAGGGTTTAGGGTTTAGGGAACCCTAATTTAGAGAACTACCAAAATGCGGGCCTCATGAGGTTGAATTTGTTTCCTCGCACGGCACAGGTCTGGAGATCTGCGACGTATCTGCCTCAGCGTCTTAGCAAAGAGACTATTGTAGGGTTCGATTAGGGGCTATAACTACAAATGCTACGGTTGATGAACAAAATCCTGCATGACCTTATATACCTAGACTATGGGATTTACAAGTATGGTACTATACTATATTTGGGTCATGCAGGATTTTGTCCATCAGCAGTACTTTGGGTTTTCCTTATCATATTTCTGCTATAAAGGAGTTCAAATTCAAAACCCCATTCTACTTATGAAGGCCCCTATCTTACTTCTGCCCTAAACCCTAAACCCTAAACCCTAAACCCTAAACCCTAAACCCTAAACCGTTTTTCCTTTTTGGTTTCTGGTGTTTGGGTTTCTGAAGGTTCAGACCTTCGGTTTTTGGGATCTGGCGTCTAGAGTCTGGAGGGCTTGTGGTTGCTATCCAGCAGAAGCACTCCGACTCCGAAACTCTAGTACGGTTTAGGGTTTAGGGTTTAGGGTTTAGGGTTTAGGGTTTAGGGTAGTATAGTATTCTGAGACAGGTATTCTGTTTTTCAACATTCGTAAGTTGGTTTGAAAGTACCTATGGAGCCTGATAAACAACCCAATCCCCTAATACGGGTCATGGACTATAGGGATCCCTAGTCGCAGGGCACTCAGGGCAAGCAGTTTAACCATCAGGTGTTTGCATTCTTCTAACCTTCGAGGGAGATTAGGCTTGAACCATAAGCCCCTAAACCCTTAAACCCCAAATCGGCTTCTTTCCAAGCTATCGGCTTGAAGAGCAAACATAGCAGTGATAGTTCCTGGCGGGCAGGAACCCCCGATCATAGGCTTCAATTTGGGGTGCATCAGGGTTGTCCGAGCCGGACAAGTAATTACATTGGTTCTTCGGCTTCACTGTTTTGTTTATAGTATCAAGAACCAGCTACCCTAGTCTAGTTCTTCAGATCTCGAATTTATGTTTGGGATTAACCCTAAACCCTAAAATTGTAACTACTGAGACCGCAGCCCCACCTGTTCTACCGGCTGCGTTGGACGTTTGCAACAGATCATAACACCGCACTATCCCAAAAGTCCGTTAATGTCGCACTCTGTTTAGTTAAAGTGGGGGCCTAAATAAGGGGGTTTCTTATCATGAATATAGTATAATATACCCCCAAACCCTATTCTAAGTATCAAGGCCCCTTACATTAAGTGAGCCTCTATCGTTCGCCTCTATAGTTAGCTTTTTCGATAGCATATTCAGGACGTGACATTTGTTGGACCGTCCCTTTAATGCGTAAGTTTAAGTTTTCGCCCGATAACAAGAGATGTTCTAGATGCACTACCAATTACGTCCTACTACTTTGCTACTACTGTGCTAACATTGTACTAATTACTAATGTGCTACTGCTGCAGTATAACTACCTTGCTATTTGCTGTACTACTGAACTACTACCTACGGTATTAACTACTGTACTGCACTGTACTACTACTGTACTACCACCCTACTACCAGTGCGCCGCACTACTGCTGTACGTATACTGTATAACTACTGTGTTACTGTTACTTTGCTACAGCTCCCACCGGGTTTCAGGCCGTCGGAAAGTGGCGGGGGGGGGGGGGGGGGG